AGCATTATATTTATCCCTATTGATGTTATATACATCAGGCTAATCTGGACAATTTATTAAGATGAATATTTCCTTATTACATAATGCTTAAAAATTAGAATGAACAATGGCAAGCATAAGAAAACCTAAGCTTTTCATGAGAAAAAGTTAAATTGTAGAGTCAAAAGGTTTAGCAGAGGGTTTGTTTTGATTACACATAATACTTAATGATCTAGATATAAAAAGTACTATATTCACTGAAAGGACAAAATGTCCTAGAAAAAAAGGGTTATTGTACTTAAATCATGTTCTAGTTTTGTTGTTGTTGTTGTTAACTTTATTTATTTACACATATAACTGCAATGATATCAACGTTCTATGCCCACTGAGATTACTCAATCTTTATGGCCAATTACAAGATCTCCTCCACTGATGTATTTTTTTATCATATTTTATACTTCTGCAGTCTTGAAGCCAGATTACTCCTCACTCCACTGCTTAGAAATTGTAGTAGAATAATTTACTTCAAGGGTCCCCAACCGGTCCACACAAACAAAGCCCCATCCATGGGATGCAGGCAGCACACAAAACCAGTCCGCGGACAAACTTCCCTCCACGGAACTGGTCCCTGGTGCCCCAAAGGTTGGGGACCTCTGATTTACTTTACTTTAATATATACAATATAATTTATTGACAATATTGCTAATGTTTATAAAACATTATATAAATCAAAGAAACAAAAAAAAATCTGAAATCAAAAAATCCTAGACAATTCTTCATCCCAAGTTTATACTTTAAAATTTGCCTCCAGCAAAGGCAAGAAAAGAGATGGAGAAAAAAAAAAATCAAGGCAAGAGGGGATTAAATAAATATAAATGCTATTCTTCATTCATAAGTGTATTTTCAGTTTTGGAATAACAACCAAGACATTAAGGCAAATTTTTCACAAAGAAGATTCTCTTTTTTTAGGAAGAGAACATAAATCGTGTAAATTCAGGGCTCGTCCTTATATTTACTTATAAATAGTACAACTTTTATAATCAACCATTATTCTTTACTTATCTTCACATTTACAGTACTTCCCCAACATACCATGCTGAGATGTTATGAGAACACAATTCCCAGAATTCTGACTGGGAATTCTTATGAATTTGCCCCAACTGCAAGATTGCAAGGGCAATATAAACTAACAGCCTTAAAAACAAAGCCTCACATTATATCACCCATCCCACATTTAAGCAAGCTTTCCCTTTGTATATACAAGATGGCAGCCAACATAAACAACTAGGCTTCAGCCTTTAAGGTTGGGTTAAAAAGAAAAACTTTGAGATTATTCCTGAAATCCAGGAGCAAGGGATCCAAACAATTCTATAGTATCAAGAAAGTATGGATTCTAATCTTTGTACTTTTTACCTATTAATGGGCTAAAACTCTCATAACCTCTCTTTAGATCTGGGGTGTCAAACTGCCAGCCCACAGGCCGGTTTCATCATACTGAAGCTGCACCCACCTACTGTCGGCAATGCAAAAAGAGTCGCAATACGTCGCGACATGTCACGTGACATGGCGAGTTTGACACCCATGCTTTAGATGAACTGACACAATGGGCAGATTTATTCTGAACAAGGCAATCAAACTTGCAATCACACTCTTAGCAACCACAATTGGGACTGGTAATATTGTCACTAAGAGTTTTTAAGTGAGATTACATGACTGCCAAACTTATACCTTTCCTAGGTGTTAAGCGAATCACCTAGCCATTAAGCAAGACATCGTATGACCAGGATTTGCAATTTTATTACTGGCTTCTATATTGATTCTGTATGTCAGAAGCCAGCTGATGATCATATGACTGCAAAATGCTACAAATGTCGTAAGTGGGTAGACCAGTTGTAAAATTACTTTCTCAGTGCCACCCTAACTTCAAATGATCACTAAACAGGACAGTCATTAAGTGAGGACTATCTGTATAGGGTTTTAAAGATGATAACAAATACTATTGAACTGAGCCTGGATGTCTATTGAAAGCCAGTATTGTATAGCAACAATAAAGATAGCTGTTATTCTATAGCAGTAGACCCTACCTCATAACAACTGGGCTGCTGATTTTACTCTAAAGAGTTATCCTCAATCTCAGTCCTATAGATAATGCAGTGCAAGAGTCCAACTGCATGGACTCTTGAATTATGTAAGAACATGAGAATTGTTGCCAGGGGCTTCACTGATCAAACACTATCTCATTAAAAAGCACTGATCTCAATTTTCCTGAACTTGATACCTTTCAAATGTGCTGAACTTAAAATCCAAAAATTCATAAGCCGGTCTATCCACTGATACATTGATAGGGAAAATCCAGAGAATGCTTTCGTTAACTAAAGAGGATATTAGGTTGGGGAAATCTTCTCTGAATTTAAAGTTTAGGCAAAAGTTATTTTGCCTAAAACCCAGTTTGGTTAAGATTGCAGGTATCAAACCCCAACCCTCTTTCTCCTCCAGGCTTGTCCCCATAATGGAAGTATTTCCCCAGTTCCTAGTTTTGGATGCCTTCTAATTTAACCTTCCTACTCTCTGAATGCAGCTCAACAGAATCTACTATTTCACAGACTAGAATTAAATTGTTGCCAGGATTTGGGGAAAATGACCACGGTATACTGTTCAGCCATAGACTTTCAGTGTATGTGAAGTATGTTGAGAAATGAGAGAGCATGGAAAGAGGAGAGAAAGAAAAGAAATAATTGTATAGGTATAGTACTAAACAAGCATTTTGCAAGAAATAATGGCATAGGTTAAAAATACTTCTGTGGTATATAGGCCATATGCTGTGTTCTTTAGGTTTTCTAACATCTAGCATAAACTCAACATGCCTTTCAAAATAAGAAGCTGTTACAAAATGTTATAATAGCCAGAGTTAAAAATTTAATCCCTTTTTAAAAACATAATATGGAACAGGATAATGCAGTCTAAAAAGAGTGTAAAGAATAGTCTGCTGAAAAATGCCTTAGCTTCTGTAGTCAAAGCTAAAAACAAATAATAAATTCATACTGCCCTCTGATGGCCAATAAAAATTATTTTAAGTTACACTATTTTCTAAACATAGAGTGACAATTGATCCTGTAAACTTCATTTCTTGCATGGATAAATAACCATTATTTTCAAAGCTTTTTTTCCACAGATTGACTTTCATATCATTCTAGGCAAATAGAAACCATGAGCACAAGCTTTGTGACAGCATTTTCATGAGCTTCCCATATCATTTCCTCAAGCCTTATTGAGTTTCTACTTCTTTGGGTGTAAGCAGATATTCCCAGGTCTTGAACTGCTTATGTGCAATTTTTGTATAATATATAGATAATCTTGAAGTTATAACTCCAAATAAGAGCACAAGGGTTTTTAATATACTGTAAAGGACCGTACAGACACTTCCCCACCGTGTCCCACTCCCAAATTTATTTAGAATAGAATAGAGCTGGAAGGGACCTTGGAGGTCTTCCAGTCCAGCCCCCTGCTCAAGCAGGAGAATCTATAACATCTCAGACAGGTGGATTAATCTCTTCTTAAAAATCTCCAGTGATGGAGCACCCACAATTTCTGGGGGTAAGCTGTTCCACTGGTTGATTGTGCTCACTGTTAGGAAATTTCTCCTTAGTTCCAGGTTGCTCCTCTCTTTGGTCAGTTTCCAACCATTGTTTCTCGTCCTTCCATCTGGTGCTTTGGTGAACAACCTGGCCCCCTCTGCCTTATGGCAGCCCCTTAGATACTGGAACACTGCTATCATGTCTCCTCTATTTCTTCTTTTCCTTAGACTAGCCAGACCCAAATCCCATAGCCATTCTTCGTATGTTTTAGTCCCCTGATCATCTTAGTTGTTCTTTGAATTTTTTCCAAACTCTCAACATCTTTTTTGTGGTATGGTGACCAAAATTGGCTGCAGTATTCTAGGTGTGGTCTTACTAGGGCTTTATAAAGCAGTAATAGTACTTCTCGTGATCTTGATTCTATGCCTGTGTTTATATAACCCAGGATTATGTTAGCTATTTTGGTTGCTGCTGCACATTGCTGGCTCATAGTCAAGTGATTGTCCACTTCTAAGTAAATTAAGTTCTTAAACTGAGTCCTATGTGATCGTGCTAATGTAGCACGGGTATTCTGTACTACTGTTATGATATATGAATGCAGCCTCAATTTTCTCAACTAATAATTGATAGAAAAAGCATGCAAAGGATGAAAGGCCTCAAGGTTCTTAAACCTTCAGTACAGTCCGAACTGTTTTTCTTATTTATTTGTTAAAATAAATTTGAGGAAAATTAGGAATAATATTATATTTATATTAAAGTACTGGCCTTTCAACTTCTTTGGCCCTAGCTTCTTTTTGAAATGCAACTAGCCTGCCACTCAAGAATCAATTGAAGCCTTAATTTGTTTGTTTTTTAAAGAACTGTACAGCCAGCTCTGTTTTAGATGACTAAGTTACAAACCATACTGACGATACAGAAATTCCTAACTGGCTCAAAGTGCTGAGAAAACACATATCATCTGATAGCAGAAAGAAAACCCAAATATCTCTATTGTCACATTTGCCTCTACAATACACTTTCATAAATGGTAATTTTTTTTAGTGTAGCGATTGGTCAGGAAGGTTTTCTATTCATACGCAGTGACTATAACCCATCTATTTCCACATGTCTTGAACAGAAGGATTTGTAAAATGTAAAATGAGGAGTTTTTTTTTTTAAAATAAACCAAATGATATCAAGTAACGTTTGCAAACCAAACAATGTAATATATATCTACCGAGATTGGGAAACTGTTTCATTTCCTGCTAATTTTCCACATGCTTTCTCTCACTGTGAAGGAAAAGAAAATTCAGAAACTAAAGCATACCTGAAATAGATAAAGTATTAAATAATGAAATGCAGCATACACAAATTAAAAAGTTAAAATCTGCTGGTGTTTTAAAATGCTATTGGACCTACAATAATTAAAAATATAATTAAAATGCACAAACATCCGATCATACATACCACAAAAATTATAATTTGCTCTCTAGGTGGGGCTGGTTTTTGATATAACGGTATAGAGATGGCAGCCTTCTGTCTTTTCATAGCAAGACAATTCAATTTCACTGTTGGAATAATACAGGCTGTAAAAACAGAAATGTATATCTATAGTTAAATGTATATCTATATTTAACAGACATAACAGAAATACCAGGATCAATTGCTTCTATTTCCTACCTTTGAATCACAAAATATCATATCCAGAAAGCACCACTAACTTAGAACAGGGGTCCCCAAACCCTGGTCCATGGATCAGTACAAGGCTGCGGCATGCCAGCAACCAGTCCAGGATGCAGGCAGCACACAAAACCACGCACCCTCTGGTCTGCGGAAAAACGTCTCTCCATGGAACCAGTCTCTGGTGCCCAAAAGGTTGGGGACCCCTGATTTAGAACATTCGGATCTAAATTTACAAAATCTCTAAATCTTAAACCTGGAGATAATCTCATTTACTCAGGAGGCTACTCCAGAAGATGTTAAGTAGGCTAAAAAGGAAAATTTATATTGTCAAACTAAACATAATGAACATTGAATGATACAATATGAGGTGTTTACATTAAGATAGAGGCTATTTACTGTGTGTACAAACACAGTATGACAAAAGACGCTAAAACATTAAAATTAAAACTTCAAAGGCTTGTGCATTCACATGGCTATTCTTACAGTAGTGCATAAAATATTAATCACCAATTAATTTTTCTGAATGGCCACTTTGAAAAGGAATAAAGCAGTGATTCCTATTCAGGAGTGGTAGCTGATGGACACATGAGAATTCTTACACAAAATGTTTGTGTATCTGTTTAATTGTGTTTCATGAAATCTCCTTCACAATGAGGATATCAATCATAAAATAAAAAAGGCACCTTCTGAGATAACACCCCCCAAAGTTCCTCAAGGTATGAGATAAGATCCAAAACATAAAGCAACTCTTTTGAATGCACAATTTTCTACTTTAACATTCATTTCAGATGCCCTACAAGCTGAATATTAGAAAGATCTGACATCTCAGAACCTCAATGTCTAATCTCATGTTTGCTCTCACAAATCACAACTACTTATTTTACAGAAGTAAAACTGGTGGTCCTAAATGAAACACGCAGTTAGAAAGGAGGGGGGGAAACAAAATGCTCATTACATATAATGAGCATTTTGCTTTCCCCCTCTCTTTTTTAATTGTGTGTTAAATTGAGGACCACCAACTTTACTTCTGTAAAATAAATAGTTGTGATGTGTGACATATGTCACAACATATATTTACATATAATAAAATCCAGAAAATACAGACACTTATGAAACCTCAATCTAAATATAATGCGGGGTAAAATGAATCAAAACTATTGTCTGATTGCATATGCACAAACTATTAAAAAATAAAGCAATAAGGGTTGAATGAAAAGAAACTCCATCTCCATATATTTAATTTAAAAAGAGATGTTTAGTTAAGTAAAACAGGAAAATAGCCTAGATTGAGTTCTTTTGTTATTTGTATTTACTTCTTCACACATACTCACCGCCATTCATTATACAAAATTTCTGCCAATGCCAGACAAGCTTCTTGAAGCCATCATGAAAAAACTACATGCTTTGTCTCTTCAATTAGAGACTGAAATTACTATTACTTCTTCATTTGAATCAAACAGATGCCCTTGAAGGTATTCTTTCAATTTTGGGGAAAGGTGGAAGTTGCATATTTCCAGTTCTGCACTAAATGGGGATGGGTAAAATGGCAAGATTGAACTTCACAATGGCCTCTTGGATGGCTTGTGAGGTGTGAGGCCTAGCATTATTATATTATAGCAAAAATTCCTTCTTTGCTTCTGAACGGTTCTTAATCACTATTTTAAAAGTTACGATAGTCAATACTCTTGAGTTGATAATCATACCAGGTTCAAATAAATCCATACTAACAGAATCATCTATGTCACAAACAAATGTGACCACAAGTCTTCCTGCCTCTTTGTTTTGATTCCCCCCCCCTCAGGTGACATTTTAGTGACATTATTTTGTAACTGTTTCATTTCTGGATCATAATGATGAGCTACTGTGTTGTCATCATGATGTCAAGAGGTTCTTCACTTTCATTCTCGTAAAGTGGCAAAAACTGCTAGCAAATTTCAGTTCCTGAAGCTTTCATCTCTGCAGTCAACATGCTAAAAACTTATCTTACACAAAACATCAATAATGTGACCCACACATTTCTGTGAAATTTCACGCTTGATAGCAGTTTCCCTTTAAGTTATCCATCAATTGTCTTTAATCACTTCATCAATTCTTCTCTTGTGAAACTCATTGGCTGCTGTTAGATGTTATCTTCTTCATTCATGCTCACCCAGATCAACTTTTTCTGGCTTACCAACTTTATATTTTTGGGCCAGCAATGCCCACTATTCATGCCAATTCAATCAATTCTATAAACAAGTTGCTTTTGGTGATGAATTTCTTCCCATTGCCAGAAAAAAAATAGTTATAACATGTGATTTAAAGTGCACCAATGTGCACTCACTGCAGGGTTCTATATCACAAAATAACAGAAACACCAACATTTTCTTATAACAACTTCCCATCAGTTAAAATAAAGAACAAATGCTAAAGAAGATATCAGAGTTTTGAGTGTGCTAGCAGTGCCATGTATTGATGACTTATAACACTGCAAACATTATTTTTCATTCAGCCCTCATAAATACACTGTGTAAACACAAACCAGTCACTTTCTCAAATACCATCAAGCCAAACTAAAATGTGCAACTGGCATAACAATTTATTTATTATTTGGTTTTTCTTAATATCATTGATTAGGAACATAGTACTCTATTCTTGCAGTACCAGCAAGTCTTAATATTGCCAAGGTTGGACAATCTTGCCAACTTTAAGACTTGTTGGCTAGGAAATCTCTGAGAGTTGAAATCCACAAGTCTTAAAGCTGCCACCCATGCTCTACTGAATCTAAATATCTGCTACATCTAAATAAACTTTCAGTTAATCCAATTCACGGGTGTCAAACTCGCCGTGTCACATGACATGTCACAACGTATCACAATTCTTTTTGCATTGCCGGCAATGGGGTGGGCTTGGCTTCGGTATGATGAAACTGGCCCGTTTCATACCCCTGGTCTAACTGATGGGCTCAGCATTCCATTCAGCCACAAAACTAATGGTTGACATTGAATATCTAATCATATCTCAGTGTCTGAACCAGATCATAGTGAAGGACCAGACCATCTTAAACATAGGGCCTGCCCAGACATCTTAAAAGGAATGCTGAGTCTAAATTTAATATATATTTATTAAATAATTCAAGAAAGCATATTTAGTTGTAATTATTTATAGCATGTGTAATTTTCATTTAGTCTAGAATTTATTCAAGTAACTAGCTTCCAAACTTATTATACAGAGTTAGAACATAGTTTTGCCTTCATCATTGAAATGTTCTTTAAGAAAAACCAAACAAGAGAACAATTAAGAGAGGAAGGCGTTGGGAACAATATTATTTAACATATCTATGAGTTTGATTTTAGTAGGCATGAAACCAGTACAATGAAAATATGCTGTTTTAGTTCTACTTTTGGTACAATGTTAATATCAAAATTTTTCAGGTTTTGAAGGAATAATGATTAACTATGTGGGTATATTTTTGTTCAAAAACATTACATATCTGTGATGTTATACATTTCAGAAATAAGCTTTGTTAAGTGAAATGAGACCTAACCAGTGCTTTTTTTCTAAAAAAAAAAAAAAAAAAAAGGTGCCGGAACTCACACACATACAACCCGCCTTGCCTACCCTACAAGGTTCCATCCAAAAAATTGCTGGAACTCCGTTCTGAGCATTCTATGAGAAAAAAAGCCCCGGACCTAACTAAGTCAAATGGGACATCCGTTAAGTTACATGGGAAGATGTGTGTATGTATATATATATATACACAAATAAGTCCTTGACATGTTTCCTGAACATCCCGATTTGAACTGATCTTTCAGAAACACTGCGAGGCTCCCAAGGTGGGATATATCACCTGGGCGCTCCTTGTCCTATCGGATAAGGGGCTCTCGAAGGGACAACGAGAGGCTCCCCGCCGTCCCGTCTCTCAGCCGAACGAGATTGTCTTCAGAAGATACTATTGGAGGCTTTTTTAAAAAAGAGAGAGACTGGACAACCCCAGGTCTGGAATGGTGTAGGGTTGGAGGTTGGACTATAGGTTCCCTTCCAACTCTATTATTTTGTGACGAGCAAAAGAGGCAGGGCTGGATTTGCGCAGCTCGATTCCTCTCTACAGGCCGCAGGAGGAGGCAGCTCTTTTCTGTCCCGCGGCAGCATCTCCAGCGGCTATCCAAGGCCAGGGCGGCTGCTTTGGAAGAGTCCGCTCCAGCCGTCCTCGCAACGGGCCGTACGGCCAAGGTTACCTGGTTCCCGGTACACTTTGGAGACGTCGTCAAAATCGGCGAATACTAACAAGAAGCGACCCCGCCTTGGAAGTCGTCTCCAACCCACCGCTTCTCTACCCTTCCACTCTCGTTGCACGCCGCGATAAGGCGCAGCCGCCGACGCCATGGCGGCTCGCTCTCCGATTTCTGGCCGGGACCTAGCCCATTCGGCCTAGGTTGGAGCGTCTCTATGCGGGACTGCTCCCCCCCCCCCCAAGTTCTCACCGTGCGAAGAGCCGCCTCTGCATCACCTTCCCCAGCGCCTCCCAGTCCCAAACCCCGAGTGGTGTTTCGCGCCCTCCGGTGGCAACTGAAGGCACCGCCGTCCTCTGGATTCAGTCCCAGGATGGAGAAAAGACGTTTCCCTTTAACAATACTTTTATTTGGATGATATAAACCTGAAGGAGTACAAGACATTTTTTTCTGCTTTTATTGGTGGTAAACCATAAACAAGTGCATTTCAGTACTGGATTTTCTATCATCCTTCCACCCACTCACCCTGCCCCCAATGCCAGGTAACTTATTTGATCTTTTCTTGCACTTTTGGGCATCATTTCAACCCAGCACCTGGGTTATCAAACAACTGATACAGCTCTTTGTTAGAAGAGAAAGCAGACATGGATTTTAATTTCCTTTTTTTTTTTGCACAGCCTATATTTTGGCCTTTCCTGTCTCAAGTCTGATTTTTCACCTTGGTGAATTAGCTCTTGCTACTGGGGTACCCTAATACAATGCATGCTACTTGATTCAAGTAACTAGAAATATTCCTCCACTTCTTCGCATCCACCATCCATCCAATCTTGTCCCTTACAAGTATCCTCCATTCCCCGCCACTGGGTTAGATCTGATTATTTAACTGTATAGAAATTTGGACTTGTCATGTAAACACAGCCCTTAGTAAGTTAACATCACCGTTGAACTGCTGTTGCAAGTGTTTAAGCTAGAGAGAGGAATATGGGCATCTTCTCTTCCTTTGCTACCTCCCTCTATTTACCATGTTGTTGACTGCTGCAATTTCTCCACAGTGGGACGTCCCATTTGGAATTTATTGCTAGAAGATGCATGTTTTCAGGCCAAGCAACTAGCAAGCAATTTAGCAGCCTTTCCCTGCCTGACACTTCTGTGCTATCACCTGGACCACAGCTAGCAGACCTGTTGGCATTCTCTCACCATCTCCCCTCACTACTGACTGAAGTACCAGATGAAATTCCTCATATCTTTCTCTCCACAAATGACTTATTTATGACTTAATTGTTGACATGAAACATTTGTCTGCCTCCATCAACAGTCTGTGGAGCTTTCAGTTGCTTTTATGCAAAGCTCTGAGACTTGCTGTTTTGCAATTGTGTAACAAGCAGTCTGTATATTCTGCAGGAATATTTATTTATTTATTTAGTCAATATCTAAGACCACTCAATGATTCTGGACAGCTTGCAATGGTTCAAAACAGTAAAAACCAAACATTAAACATCAAAGGCTAAAACATATAAGGAACGGTTGCGAGAATTGCGTATGTCTAGTTTAACGAAGAGAAGGACAAGGGGGGACATGATAGCAGTATTCCAATATCTCAGGGGCTGCCATAAAGAAGAGGGAATTAAGCTATTTTCCAAAGCACCTGAAGGCAGGACAAGAAGCAACGGGTGGAAATAATCAAGGAGAGAAGCAACCTAGAACTAAGGAGAAACTTCCTGACAGTGAGAACAATTAATCCGTGGAACAGCTTGCCTCCAGAAGCAGTAAATGCTCCAACACGGGAAGTTTTTAAGAAGAGACTGGACAGCCATTTGTCCGAAATGGTGTAGGGTTTCCTGCCCGAGCAGGGGGTTGGACTAGATGACCTCCAAGGTCCCTTCCAACTTTACTACTATTACTATTACTACCTGGAAATTAGCAAGACCAAACATAAACCTTTCCAACCTATGGGAATTGCCAGCTCTTAAATGTCTTCCTTAAATGCCAGCAAGGTTAGGGTCATTAGGATTTTTTTTGGGGGGGGGATACCATTCCAAGGGCAGCAACAATGAAAGCATACTTCGTGTGTCCCCTAAGATGGCACTCTTTAATTGATGGAACCGTAAACATGCTGATCCTGATATATTTCTTTTAAGGCAGCCAGAAACAATAGGCTAGAAGCTACAAATATCTAGCCCTGTACCACAAAGGCTTTATAGATGACCAACAGGACCTTGAATTTACTTGAAAGCTCACTGGTAACCAATGCAGCTCACAAAGTATGACATGGGTATTCAATGGTGCACCCATACCAATTTGCCCCACTGTATTTTGGACCATTCTAAAGTAGCTTGCAGAACAGCCTCATATAAAATATATTGCAGTCATCCAACCATCAGCTGATTAAGGTATGTATATTCCATAAGAATATTCTGATCTTAGAATGGCACAACTGGTGCATAAGACAAATTGGGAAAAGCCCCCCTGGACTATGTGCTATTAAGTACAAGCTGTGAGTCAAGTGATTTCTACCAATGTACTCTAAATTTAAGATACAATTGATTACATTTGATAAATTGCCGTATATTATTTTTTCCCCAAAATGTTAAAGAGTCATGTCATTTATACAAATTAAGCTATGTATCTATAAAGAGCCTTTAACGCATTTCAAAAGGATTTTATATTTGATAGGGGAGAGAACTTTCTGGGAGAGAGAACTTTCAGACTATATTCTATCTCAATAAACTTTAGAAAAGCAATTGAAAAGCACATCATTTCAACCACCTTTCAGTTGTTTTAGAATGTTTAATGTTTACATTTTATTTTGCTTCCATTGGCTGCCTTTCCTGATATTACTGAAAAGTTATAGTATCCACAATAAACATTAAAAAAGTAAATGGATATAAAGGGAAATCATATAAAGTGCAGCTAGATGCAGTTTTTAGACATCTTTAGGCAGATTATTTTATATGTTTTTCTCCTTTCCAATTTAGCAGTTGAATGCAAAAATGTCTACTGAATTTTATTCTGTGCACCTATCCTTTTTTATTGGCATTAACTATAAACAGCATGAAAGATACAGTACTGAATACTAAAACTAGTTCCATGTCATTTGCACCTAGACAAAACTGGTGGTCTGAAAATGCTGAGAAATAGGAATGACTTAATATATAAGCAATTTTATCACATTTTAATAAATTACTAGCAACAATTATATTATTTTATCCTGCCAGTTGATCATCCTTCACTGCAAATATTGTAGATTATATTAATGAAATTTAACAACCAATATATCTTCCCTGTTCCAGTTTTTAGTAATTCATGAAAGAATTAAAATAATTTTCACAATAATCAATTTAAGTTGTTTTGTTTTGGACCAGAACATGAAGATTTGGAATTACTTTAAAACAATTCATATGCTTCATTTGGTGTGTTTTGGTAAGTATTCCCATCTGACAATCTGCGACCCAATTCAAGTCAGCAGCAGCAGCATTGAAAATGGATTCATGTTTGCTTATCTAATAACAATAAACATGAGGTACAATTATACAAAAATGTATGTGCTACTGCAGCATTAAATAGCACATTACACATAATTCAGTCAAAGTCTGTTCTAAGTAGAAGTTCTCAGATTGCTATCAACAGAGGAGTCTGGCAAAATAAATGCAATCGTAGTTGGCTATTGCTACAGACATTGAGGCAAATTTCCTAAATAGAAGCCTGATTAGAAGAAAGTGAAATTAAAGATATGAGACTGCAGGCAAACTTAATTAATTCACAGTATCCATCTTCACTGAAAAAAATAGGATATTAATATCCAAACAGCATTGCTGAGCATATGATTGTTTCACAATTTTTAATATATTGTCTAACTGGACTTTCTGAGAAAATGTCTCATGGAGATAAGAGAATGTCCTTTTCATACACCAACATCATACCATACAACAGAAAAATATAAACTGACATTTTTTTTACCATGAAGTGGGAAAAAGACGGTTTAACTAATAACTGATACTAAGACAGGTGGTTCTTTATTCATAACATTAGGATAGCCCAGGCTACTAAAATACCAAAAATAAATAATGAAGAAAACATACAGGTGGACTATAAAATTTTAAAATGATATTGATGTGAGTGGTTAATATTAAAGAAACCCAGGAATTCACTGAGTTTAAGCCAATCATTCTCCTTTAATTCAATCTACCTCATGGGTTAATAAACAAGATAAAATTAAGGAACATCTCTTTGTAAGTTGCCTTGCATGTTCTAAGCAAAATACCACATAAATAAAATGAATAATAAACTATGATGTGTACTACCAAGTGCAATTGATAAAGATGGGCAACCTCCAGGGAAAAAAAGGGCATCTGCCATGTATATATTGCAGACTGAACTGTGATTAAGTAGAAAGTAGATCCTGAACTTCTTATTGATAGCACAGAATCAACTCAGCATGTACCGGTTGTAGAGAACATATTTTTGAGTGATACCATTTCCCCCCCCAAAAATGGAATGGTCGTTTGTGTCAATCCTTCATTTTCACTATGTCATTTCATATATTTTTGCCGTGAGCTCCATTATTTCCCAAAACAGATTTTCAGGTGACGGAGAATTTAAGGATAAAGCAAAAAAAGCAAACCTTGATTTCTTCCTCTGCGTCCATGTCCTAGTGTGGGATCATATAGTTTTATGGAAATCCAAATGATACAATTTTGGTTTAAAATCCTTATTACATATTTAAACAGCCTCCATATCCAAAAAATAGTATAAAACCACCCAGGTAGTATTTTGTTGAGCAATTTAGATTTAATCCAAACTGAGAAATCTATAGGCAAATAAAACACATGCAAAACTAAAACATGGATTGTGTAACCAACCTTTAAAAATCAGCTATTATATGGAAACAGTTGCATTAATCTTTAAGATGAGAAATTGAACCTCTAGACATATGGAGGTTGTTCATAGTGAATTACAGAACAGATTGACATTATCTAAATGTATGAATACATAGTTTTTGTGAATTGTGGAAATGACGATTCCATTTAAATATTCAGTGGTACCCTTCATGTATACACTTAACGTGTTTTCACAATTTAATTTACAAATGGGAAAAGAAGAAAAGCAAGGAGGAATACAAATTTCAACATCAAAATTATTTTTGGTTTGAACAAAAATTATTATAGTAACATTAATAAATGCAATGAAGAAATATAAACATCTATATACAAGTTTTCCCACAGTATCTTATTTTTGATTAAGAGGCCAATAATTTTCTTTAAAACAAAAAAGATAACATTGCTCTAACAATAATTTGGAATTCAGTGCCTGGACAGAACACCTCTTTTTCTTTCATTTGATTTCTTCCCACCCCTGAGCTTAGCAATTATATTGATTTTAAATATAGCTACAGCAATATATACATATCTATAAAATTTGTAAGATTCAATGCAGCAGTTAAAAAAAATCCACACACACTAGAGTATTTTCAGCTAATCCTGGGAGATTGGTTTTGCTTATATGATTCTTACTTTAAAAATCAAGTAAGAGGTTTACTCTGTAGTTCAAACATTCATTTATTGACTACTAGATTTGATTTTTTAGTGCAACAATAAGGCAACATTAAAAAGAGCATTGAAATAGAAAGTTTGCATATGTGTAAAGGTAGCAAGTTTATAAAAGACACATCATTGCTTCCTAAAAAGACAGCCTAGATCCAGTATCATAAAATTACATATAGGTGAAGATCAATTCACTATTGTTTAACAATTGTTTTTCTGTATAAAAGGTAATTCTAGTTTTTGTCATATCTTTAAAGAAAACCTGGAAAATTGTTATGGCTGTATGGGATAAGGTAAGAAAAATATATATATTTATATATATTTGTCTTAAGTTTAAATAAAAAGATCCACACTTTTTTGTCAAAACAGTTCATCTCTGTCCAAAATGTATTTCTTCCTTTATGGTACAGAATTAAAAGACAAGATAAATGTTAATAAAGAAATATTTTACAAGAAAATATCTTCTGATAGCTTTTCAGTGAAAATATTGTTTTGTAACATTCAAATATGACATATAAGACCACAAAAGAAATGGTGAACTCAAAAATTTCTAGACACATAAATAAATGAAGTATTATGTAGGCAACAGGGCTCATGCTGAAGGCTAGTATGAAATAAAAGTGTGCAATCTACTAGGAATATAGCTCTAGTATACATATTAACAAGCCCAATCATGGACTGCAGCAAATTCAGTTTTATCACTGCTACCTGTTTCTATTTCATAATGAAGTTTTCCTTGATTAAACCACTTCTGCCTTATTTATTCATACCTTTCTTCAGAAACATAACATATATAAAACAAAAGATATTTATCTACCACAGAACGTACCTCTCTGCTGACATAACTTGAAAAAACTTGCTTGTCAAGACACTGACAGTTCAGTAAATATGCAATGATCTTACTAATTTCTTAGTTAAGCATGTTTTAACTTATGCTGCTAACTGTATGATCACAGTGCACAGAATCCATATCTAAACAAATTAGGTGGCTTTCAAAGTAAAAGATAGGTTACTTATCATCCTAATATACTTAAAACCTTTCATAGGCCCTATCATGCATCTAAAGTATTGTTTGGAAAGCATATATGTTTCCTGAAACAATCTTTTGCGGCAATGGGTATACCAAAACCACCAAGAAATTTGTATTATTGCACAATACATGAAGACCTGGAATTCTTCCAAATGTTAAAACTGAATGACATTTTCCAGCATTAACGTTGTATGACTACGAAAGGCATGTCAGTAGCATGGTGTGAACCAGCAATCAACATGTGCTCAGAATGCATACTAGTAAAAATTCAGTCAAAGGAAGTAGTCTTCATCGCCTATTTATCATTTCCAGTCAGGAGGTTAAAGTTCAAAGACTGAATGATCAAAGTGCTCATTTTCTCAGTAGGACTATCTTCTGTTAGGAAAGTCATAGAATGATGGTGTCAACAAGTGTCATCTTTAAAGAAAAACAAAATGTAAAATGTTATAATATGCACATATACATTGTTTAAAACTTATGAAGATCTTTATCTGGAATAGCCCCTGACAGTACCACTTCAATAAATTAAATAAGGATTAAAAATTATAAATTCTGGAGGAGACAATGTAATTCTGAACCACTGAATTGCCTTGTTTTGTTCACACAAATCTGACAATGTACTAAGGCTCAGTAAAATAGTGCATCTTTCAAACAAAAATGCAAATATACAAAAATATACAATTTTTCCCAGAACATTGTCAGATCATAGTCCTGTGTGGATGGAGTTATATTCGGAAGACGGGAATAGAAGATCCTGGAGATTGAATGAGAACCTATTTAATCGGGAGGAGTTCGTACAAAAGTGTAAAGAACATTTAAAGGACTTTTTTACTATAAATATGAATAAGGGAACATCGATGTCTATGGTGTGGGACGCTAGTAAAGCATATATGAGGGGAATTTTGATTCAATTGAATAAAGTTTTTAGGGAAAAAGGGTCACAAAGACATAGAGAAATAGAAGAAGAGATCAAATCAAAAGAACAAGAGTTGGTTCTTAACCCTACTGATAATAATTTAAAGGTATCTATAAAGATGCTTAAGGAACAATTTAACATGTTGATGGCAGATCAGGTGGCTACCAATCTGTCGTACATGAGACATAATACTTTTTGCAATGCGAATAAGCCTGGGAGGTGGTTGGCTTATCAGTTACGAAAGAAACAGAAAGCTAGAATTATAGAGAAAGTAAAATATAAAGGTACTGAGGTTTTTCAGCAAGATTTGATTAGAAAAAGCTTTTTGGACTTTTACACAAAATTATATTCAAGTGATAATATAAGGGGTTTGGATATAGATAAATATTTACAATCAGTACATTTTCCTAGACTTTCAGAGGAACAACAAAATGGGATGAATAGTTTAATTACTGTGGAGGAAATTGGTTAGCTATTAAGCAGTTAAAGGTTGGAAAGTCTCCTGGAACAGATGGACTGACTTCTAGGTATTATAAGATCTTATCTGAAGAAATGATAGAGCCATTAAAGGAACTCTTTAATAGTATTTTGTTGGGTATGCAAGTTCCTCCTTCTTGGAAAAGAGCTTTTATATCACTGATTCCGAAGGAAGATCAGGATCTTACAGAGCCTAAGAATTATAGGCCAATTTCATTATTGAATGTTGATTATAAGATTTTTACAAAAATTTTGGCAAATAGATTAATGCAGGTCATGAAAGATTTGATTCATAGTGACCAAGCAGGATTTATAACAGGGAGATATATGAAACATAATGTCAGACAAATTATCAACTTAATTGAGTACTTGGATAAGAATAATCAGATTCCTGTGGCTTTTATCTTTTTGGATGCTGAAAAAGCTTTTGATCAATTGGACTGGCAATTTTTATTTTCTTTGGTAGAGAAAATGAATTTTGGGGATAATTTTTTACATGCACTTAAAGCTATATATCAGCAGCAATCTGCACAAATTGTTGTAAATGGGGGATTGACTGAGAATTTTAATATTCAAAAAGGGACAAGACAAGGATGTCCATTATCCCCATTGTTATTTGTTTTAACATTGGAAATTTTATTGATTCAGATTCGGGAATCGAAGTTAATTAAGGGTGTAAAGATAAGGAAGAATGAGTATAAATTGCGGGCATTTGCGGATGATTTGGTTTTAATTTTGGAACAGCCGAATCAGGCGATTGATGGTTTATTAGAACTTATAACACAGTATGGGAATGTTTCTGGTTTTAAAGTTAATAATTATAAGACTAAGATATTATCTAAGAATATGTCAGTTAAAGAAAGGGAAAGTTTGATTAAAGCCACAGGTTTTCAGATGGTAAAAAAGGTTAAATACTTGGGAGTATATCTAACTGCTTCAAATGGAAAATTGTATAAGAACAATTACGAACCATTATGGGCAAAAGTCCAAAAGGATTTAAGAGATTGGAAAAAATTGCAATTGTCATTGTTGGGGAGAATTTCAGCTGTAAAAATGAATGTTCTACCAAAGTTTCTTTTTTTGTTTCAGATGATACCTATTCTTAAAAAAGAGGCAAATTTGGAGGAATGGCAAAAGGGTATCAATAATTTTATATGGGCCGGGAAGAAACCAAGGGTTAAATTTAAGATATTACAGGATGCTCGAGAAAGAGGGGGACTTAAGGCACCTAATTTGAAATTATATTATGATGCAGCCGCCCTAACTTGGTTAAGTGATTGGCTTAATTTAACAAATATGGATATTCTTTTTTTGGAAGGTTGGGATTTAATATAGGGTTGGCATGCATATTTAATTTTTAATAAGAAAGTTGATCGGACTTTTAAATCACATATTTTGAGGAATGCCTTACTTCGTGTTTGGAAGAAGTATTATTATAGATTAAATTATAAAATACCTATCTGGGGGATTCCCAGACATGCAATTGAGGGAACCTCTAAGGGGACAAATTTTGATAAAATCTCATACAAAGAATTGTTAATTTGTTCTGGTTCGAATTGGCATTTGAAATCCCTAGATGTATTAAGGCAGCAAAATATTCTACAGTCATGGTTTCAATATTTACAAATAATGGACAGATGGACTGTAGACAAGAAAGAGGGAATAACACTAGAAGATAGACAATTGGTTATTCAGATTAAAAACCAAGGTCCGGCTCATATAAAAAGAATATATAATGTTTTATTAGAGTTAGATTCGGAAACAGAATTGGTTAAAGATTGTATGATTAAATGGGCTCAGAATATACAGGAGCCGATCTCATTGGATTTATGGGAGATAATTTGGATAAGAAATGTTAAATTTACACAAGCTCAAAATTTGAGAGAAAATTTTTATAAAATGTTTTATAGATGGCACTTAGATCCTAAAAAATTATCTTGTATGTATTCCAACATACAGCCCAAATGTTGGAGATGTGGCAATAATGATGCGACATACTTTCATATTTGGTGGAATTGTAAAAAAGTAAAGGCTTTTTGGATTATGATTTGGTGGAACATTCAAAAGATTTTTAGAAAAAAGATAAAGGTTACTCCTCAACTATTTTTACTTGGTATTTTTGTTGACTTAAATGAAAAAGAAACTACTTTGATGTTGAATTTATTAACTGCAGCAAGGTTACTAGTAGGTTTATATTGGAAGAAAGATTCTTTGCCTACTTTAGAAGAATGGATATTTAAAGTATCTAGTTTTGCAGAAATGGCAAAAATTTCTGCTTATTTAAAGGATCATACACAAGAAAGATATATTACTGTATGGGGAAGGTGGATAGATTATATTCAGAAAAAGTATGGAATTAAAAAGTTTTATTTATTTTATGAATGAATATCAAATATTATAGAGAATTGTTTTATAGGTTATGGAGTTAAAGGTTAATTATGATTTTTTTTCTCACTTTTTTTTTCTTTTTTCTTAATTATTATAATTTTCTTTTTTTTTTAACCCTGTATTCTGCTCTGGGAAATGAAGGGAGGGGGGGTGGGGGTGGGAGGGAGGGTAAGGGGGGGGTTTCTCTATTTTAAAATTTTATTGTATTTTTATAAATGATTGTATCTTTTAAAAAATAAAAATTTTCAATTTAAAAAAAGAAAAAGAAAAACAAAATGTAAAATGTTATAATATGCACATATACATTGTTTAAAACTTATGAAGATCTTTATCTGGAATAGCCCCTGACAGTACCACTTCAATAAATTAAATAAGGATTAAAAATTATAAATTCTGGAGGAGACAATGTAATTCTGAACCACTGAATTGCCTTGTTTTGTTCACACAAATCTGACAATGTACTAAGGCTCAGTAAAATAGTGCATCTTTCAAACAAAAATGCAAATATACAAAAAGCCCAAAGTCTCAGAAACCGTGGAAGATTTGGGGAAAAAAATCTGTTGCTGTGCAAGTATCTTCACATCATAAAGGGTTTGGAGGATAAGAGGTGGTAGAAAAACCCTCAATACTATTTTGTCTTGATATTTCCATGCAGAGTAAACAAATTGTTATATTTTAAACTATTCATTGCATTTTATTTTATGCTAGCTTTGGCAACCTATTTCTTCAGTTCAATTCCATTTTGTTAATGATCTATTCATTCAATAGTAAGCAGTAAGATTATTCATTGTTTCATTCTACTGATATGAAGCACTGCTTTACACTAAATGTACTAACTGGCTCATTTATTCATGGCTATTCTCAATTCGAGTAAAATCCTTAAAGCTCAGCATCTGCATTACATATAGGAAAGCCTGTTTTCAGTGCTTCTGCAGTTCAGAATGACAATACTTCATTCCCTAGCAGATTTCTTGGAAAAGATCTGTACTTGAAATTTTCATATGTCTATAAGATATAGATCTTTCTCACCTAAATTCATTAAGACATGTCTAAAGTAACGTACTAGTAAACTCATTTGTAGTATTATTTGTGAATATTAAGAAACTTAAACATTCAAGCATTATACAGGAAGCTTTGTAAATTACATATTAATTATTCATTACTTAGAATATTGTTTTCAAACTAAGTGCTTACCATGATACCACCATTTTGTTTTCTTTGGATTCTTGTTACATGTTCTTACATAAAATGAATTATCTGGTGGTCTTCTCTGCAATAAAGTAAAACTATATTAAATTATAAACCTATTTTTATTATACAAAACTGTACATCAGTGGCTCAACTGAAAGTAGGACATAAATCTAACAAATAAAGGAAAGGGACGAAGTAAATTTCAGAAATGCATTAATTGAAATAAGAAAAAAATCTGGCATTTATTCTTTTATTCCTGATTTTCAATACTTTCAACTGCTCCTCAACTCTTAAACAATTTCAGTGAATAAATTGTTAATATTTCAGGTGACCTTATAATTCCTGATGTACAGACACATATATTTAAGCAAATATAATATTTCTCTACTTATGTTTGGATAAACCAGACAAAACTAGCATGTAATCAGTCCAGGTTTGGAAAAACCCTCAAGTTGTGTCAAGAAATAAACTGGATAAAGAAAGAAATAAGTGAATAATACATAAGCAGGCTAAATAAGAAAATATTTCTCTGCCAAACTTTAAATAGCAGTTTCTAGAAGAAATAATAATCAGAAGCTTCCTCCTATTCTTTCTCCACCACACACTTTAAATATATGGGAAGAAAATGACATTATCTCTAAATTCATACCTTTTCTTTGCAGCTTGAGAGCATGCTGATAATGCTAAGACAAACTGATTGCACTGAAAGAGCTGGAGACCAGTCTTCTGTTAGAATAGATAAACAGATATGTCCATTGCTATAAACGTGAGGATGAACAGGAATATTTTCACCAGTAAACACAACCTACAAAGTAAAAATAAAATTAATACTTTATTAAAATTATAGATAAAAATACTAATGCTATTTATAAAATGCTCAATTTTTATACAAAAAACATTTGAATTCAAACGTGGACGTAATCTGTAAAATAACTGAAGACATGAGAAGGGTATTAATCAAATTTTATCTTTCATATATCGCAGTATGTCAGTCTTGAATTTAATGAAATTTATCATTCAGTATGTTGCGCAGGTGCAGAATAGATGGTACCTGGCTCAATAGTGGTAACTGTGAGAGGGATTTAGGAATCCTAGAGGACAACCACTTAAATATGAGCCAGCAGCATTCTGCAGTGCAAAAAAAGCCAGAGCAGTCAGAAGCTGCATTAACAGAGGATAAACTCAAGATCATATGAAATACTACTTTATAATGCCTTGGTAAGACCACTCTTGGAATATTACATACAGTTTTGGTCACCATAATATAAAAAAGATGTTGAGGAGCTAGAAAGAGTGCCGAGAAGAGCAAAAGATGATCAGGGGGATGAAGACTAAAACATATGAAGAATGTAGGGATTGGGTATGTCTAATCTAGTGAAAAAAAGGACTAGGGATGACAATGACAGCAGTTTTCCAATATTTGAGGAAGGAAGATCTATTCTCCAAAACACTTGAAGGCAGGATGAAAAGCAATGAATGGAAACTAATCAAAGAGCGAACCAACCTAGAACTAAGAAGAAATTTCCTGATAGTGAGAACAATTAACCAGTGGAATGACTTGCCTCCATAAGTAATGGATGCTCCAACACTGGACAGCCATTTGTCTGAAATGCTATAGGATCTCCTGCTTGAGCAGGGAATTAGACTAGAAGGCCTCCAATATCTCTTCCAAGTTAGTGGTTTTTCGGTTATATTCTGTTATGTACATTCTGTTACTTCAGGTGCTACTGCCTAATTAGAGGTAGTCCTCGACTTACGGCCACAATTGAGTCCAAAATTTCTGTTGCTAAGTGAGACACTTGTTAAGTGAGTTTTGCTCCATTTTATTATTTTTCTTGCCACCGTTAAGTGAATCACTGCAGCATCACTATTTACCCACTGACTTTGTCAAAGGATCACAGAAGGTGATCACCCTGGGACATTGCAACCATCATAAATATGAGTCAGTTGCCAAGCGGCTGAACTTTGATCACATGACCATGAAGATGCTACAATGATCGTGTCAAAAATGGTCATGTCATTTTTTTCAGTGCCATTGTATCTTCAAATGGTCACTAAATGAACTGTTGTAAGTTGAAGACTTACACCTTTATATATTTAATTCTTGTCAGACAAATATTCTCAATGTGATTTTTTTCTTCTAATTTGTTTTTACTATTCTTCTTAACTTTTTTAACTTGAAGGTTTTTATAAAGATTGTTCAGACAAGTTAGATATATTAAGAATTTTAAAAGAATCTTAATATTTTCTACTCACAGAGTAATCAATCCTGATTCTGTGCTGTGAATCCATGCAGTTCAAAACTTGTCTTCCTAATATAGGCATGTCAAACTGCCGGCCCACAGGCCGGATGCACCACACTGAAACCGCACCCACCCTATTGCCAACAATGGGGAAAAAGTTGCGATACATCTCACGACGTCACATGATGTCGCGAGTTTGACATGCCTGGCCTAATAGTACTTTTTACCTCTTCATTGTGTCAAATAGCCCATGGAAGTTATTTCTTTAATTTGGAGAAAAAATGGAAGTTGCATGGGACCAAGTTGCTAAGATGGAAAGATCCAACTTTGCAATTACCTTGTGGGTTGCTTGTGAGGTCTGAACCCTGTTATTGTTACATTATAGCAAATTTCCTTCTCAACTCTGATTGTTTCAAAGGTTTCTTGCAATGTAAAGTTTTGAACTGATCATGCTTTGGATTCAAGGAAATCTATGTAAATCTGTGTGGCTCTCCGCCCCCCAAAAAACCTGTAACCCATGAGTTTTTCTGCTAAAGGCTGAGTTTTGAATTTTTTTTTACAGGTGAAGCTTTATGATGTCATTGAATGGACTGATGCTTCATTTCTGGACCATAATGATAAACATGTGTTATCAGCTGTCATAATGCTATAAAGAATGTCTTCAATTTCATTCCTGTAACATGTCATCAAGTGCTGGCAAATTTCAACCAAAGTTTCACATTTCCTGCTGTCAGTTTGCAAGAAATATATCTTGGCAAAGCTTCCAATATTAAATAACATAAATAATGTGACCTATATGTTCCTGTGAGATGGACAACAATTTCCCTTTGAGTAATCTGCCAATTGTCCTAGTTCATCAACTATTCTCAAATGAAACTCGTCTGCTGTGTCTTCCACTTCATTTTTGATCGCATACTGTGAGTCAACTCTTCCCAATTCATCATCTTTACACGTTTTGTTCAAGAACACATATTCAAGTTAATGCAGTCATCAACATAAAAAATCTACATTTAGTGGTGAATTTCAATTGGAAGAATTCATTCAACAGTCAAAAATTCAAACACAGCACATTGCTTACAGCCTGTCAACAAATGCTCACTGTAGGTTTCCACTTTACAAACAAACAATAGCACAGCAAAATCCTAACAACTGAAGTGAAAGAACTTGCCAAAAGAACACCTCAAAGTTTCTACCATATCATTATTGCTGTCTTTTGATGTCTTACAATATTGGACACACTGCTTTTCATTCAACCTCTGCAGGTACCAGATATATGATTAAACTATTCTTGCTGTTTTCTGAAGAGCTATCCTAGCAAAAAATTCAATAAAATAAACATTCATTATTACCAAATATTTTATAATTTAATTGAGCATAAATTACCTGAGGAGAATCAAATGGATACCGACTACTGAATTTAAATAGCAGTTGAAATTTCTCCCCTTCATATAATGTTCCAGAAGCCCCTTCCATGTCTATTATCCACCTTGGGAAACAAAATGGTTTACAATGATGAAAACACATAACCATAGTATTTGATCTTCAGTAAGTAATTTGATGTAAGTTATCGGGCTCTCTTTTTTCTTAAAAGATCATTTTATGTACTTTAACAAAAGTACTAATCTCTGTAATATTGGCCTTTGAAAAAAAATAATGAAGTTATGTTACAGAAATATTGTATCAACAATTGGACTGTTGGAATCCAAAACAGAGAATTCTTCCATTTCTAATGCCCTTTCTCTGAATCACTAGGTTGGGTTGCCATTTATTTATTTATTTATTTACTTACAAATATTTATATGCCGCCCAATCCCAAAGGACTCAGGGCGGCATACAAGGTTAAAAACAGTCATAAAAGAATAAAATAATCCAGTCATACCAAGAGTCCGATCATATCCCGGCCCCCCGGGGACATCAGCCCCACGCCTGCCGGAACAGGAGAGTTTTAACGGCTTTCTTAAAGGCCGGCAGGGTGGGATTCCACCAGGTCGGAGCCACCACAGAAAAGGCCCTTCCCCGAGGGCCCGCTAGCCGACATTGTCTGGCCGACGGGACCTGAAGGAGGCCCAATCTATGGGACCTCACCGGTCTCTGGGAGCTGTGCGGCAGAATGCGGTCCTGTAAGTAACCTGGCCCTATGCCATGAAGGGCTTTGAAGCTGATAACCAACACCTTGAATTGCGTCCGGAGACCCACAGGAAGCCAGTGCAGCTCGTGGAGGATAGGTGACACGTGGGCGTACCTTGGCGCGCCCACAATCGCTCTCGCGGCTGCGTTCTGAACCAACTGCAGTCTCCGAACGCCCTTCAAGGGTAGCCCCATGTAGAGCGCGTTACAGTAATCCAGTCTTGAGGTGACAAGGGCATGAGTGACTGTGAGTAAAGCCTCCCGGTCCAAATAAGGCCGCAACTGGTGCACTAGGCGAACCTGTGCAAAGGTCCCCCTGGCCACAGCCGATAGATGTTGTTCCAAATTTAGCTGTGAATCCAGGAGGACACCCAAGTTGCGTGCCTGCACTGAGGGAGGTAAATTTGCCCCCCCAGGACTAAAGATGGACCATCCAGTTGGCCTTTGGGAGGCAAGACCCAGAGCCACTCGGTCTTGTCAGGGTTGAGTCTAAGCCTGTTCACCCCCATCCAGACCCTCACATCTTCCAGGCACCGGCACATCACGTCGACTGCTTCACTGAAAGGACACGGGGTGGAGATATACAATTGGGTATCATCCGCATACTGATGATACCTCACCCCGTGTCGCCGAATGATCTCACCCAGCGGTTTCATGTAGATGTTAAAAAGGAGGGGGGACAGGACCGAGCCCTGAGGCACCCCATAATCGAGGCGCCTAGGGGTCGATCTCTGTCCGCCCGCCAACACCAACTGCGACCTGTCAGAGAGGTAGGAGGAGAACCACCGCAATACGGTGCCGCCCACCCCCACCTCTCCGAGACGACGCAGAAGGATACCATGGTCGATGGTATCGAAAGCCGCTGAGAGGTCAAGAAGCACCAGGATAGAGGAATAACCCCTATCCCGGGCTCGCCAGAGGTCAGTGCGACCAAAGCAGTCTCAGTGCTGTAGCCGGGCCTGAAACCAGATTGAAAAGGGTCCAGATAATTGGTTTCCTCCAAGGATCGCAAGAGTTGAGACGCCACCACCTTCTCTACAACCTTCCCCACAAAGGGGAGGTTGGAGACGGGACGAAAGTTCTTCAAAACAGCTGGGTCCAGGGAAGGCTTCTTGAGGAGGCCTCACCACCGCTTCCTTTAAAGGTTGCAGGAAAGACCCCTCCATCAAGGAGGCGTTGATTATCGCCTGGAGCCAGCCTTGTGTCACCTCCCTACTGGCAGAAACCAGCCAGGAGGGGCACGGGTCCAATAAACAGGTGGCGGCATTCATTGCCCTCATGGCCTTGTCCACTTCATCAGGGGTCACAGGCTCAAACTCGCTTCAGATAACATGACTAAGACCAGCCCCTGGCAACTTGGCTGGCACTGCCCAGTCGGAGTCCAGGTCTCTCTGAATCTGAGCGATTTTGTCCGACAGAAACTGAACAAACTCCTCAGCTCTCCCCTGCAAGGGTTCCTCCGCCTCCTCCACTTTAAGAAGGGAGCGGGTCACCCTAAACAAGGCGGCCGGGCGAGATTCTGCGGACGCAATAAGTGCGGAAAAGTGAACACGCTTTGCCGCCCTTATCGCCACTAAATAAGTCCTAAGATAGGCTCTTAATAGTGATCGGTCAGATTCAGAGTTACTGGCCCTCCAACATCGCTCTAGACGTCTCTTGTGGCGCTTCATCTCCCGGAGCTCCTCAGTAAACCAAGGGGCCCTCCGGGGACCACCACCACAGAGAGGTCGCAAAGGCGCAATTCGATCCAGGGCCCCAGACGCCGCCTCATTCCAGGCCGCAACCAGGGACCCTGATGAGTTGTGGACAAGGGAGTCAGGTATTTCCCCAAGCTCCTCCTGGAACCGATCTGGGTCCATTAGGCGCCTGGGGCAGAACCACCTAGTCGGCTCCCTCTCCCTGCGATGACAACTGAGCAATGGACAGTATGTGCTGGTATTTTCCTAACTGCTCTTGAGTTATTCTCAAACTGTTATCTTTCCTCTTAGAAATTGTAAGGAGGTTGAGAAATAATTGGAAGAATAAATATTGATGATAAAAAAAAGTAAGATAAACCACCAGCAGGTCAATGGAGATTCTCAGTCATCCAGATCATGGTTGTCCCAAAGGTGCTTTTTTAACAGGCAACTGGACTTTTTTTGTTTTTCTCTGAAGAAGAGCTGAAGAAGCTTCTTGGATGAGAAGTAAAACATTTTCAAAGAAAAACAAGGAAGTCCAGTTGCGTTTTGAAAAAGCATCCTTGGGACACCAGCAAGTCATTTCAAAAAATGGCAGCCAGGTGGCAAAAAGTGTAAGGAAATATTCTAAATCATTCAGTAGTTCTGCTTTAATGAAATAATTATAAATGAGGGTGGAACATTTCTTTATGGCGTGCACGATTCTGTATTTATTCCAGACTAGAATTAAAGACACTGCGTATTTCTTGCTTCCCTGATTGTGCCCAACTGAGTAGGGCAGTGATGGCGAACCTTTTAGAGATCGAGTGCCCCAAAACCACCCTCCACCCGTCCCTGCTCTGCCATGCCCGCTGAATCACTCACCACCTCCACGGCCTGCCACAGATCATTCAGGCAGCCCAGCAGTGCCTTGGCGGCCACACCCTCTGCCCGTTCCCTGCAGCATTATCTGCGTGCGATGGGGTGCAAGAGCGGAATCTTGTCCCCGCTGCCTAGCTATCATGTCCTTGGCTGCACAGCATTGCGTGGGCCATGCCTGGGGGTGACTCTCCTCCGGAGGGCTGCTGGTGAGGCGGGGGCTGTGGGAGGAGGCGGGGATGGGGCGACGGTGCGTGTGCCCAGAGAGAGGGCTCCAAGTGCCGCCTCTGGCACGCGTGCCATAGGTTTGCCACCACTGGAGTAGGGCTTCACAATATTCACTCATAAAATTCTACTTCCTGATCATTCAGTAAGTTTTTAACCCCAATTCCTGTTTGCACTGTATATGTCTGGCGTTTTTTAATAAATGCAAATGCGGCAATAATAAATCAAACTGAAAAGATTGAATCTTTTTACAGCCCTTATTGAAGTTACTCACTGCTTGTTACTTGCTCATTTCTACACTATTATGTTTGCTGCCTTTGGGAAGGAAGACTTTTGTGATCAGCTGAGATTTCTAAAGTAGAAATTATTGTAAGGAGAGCCAGTTTGATCTAGTGCATGGCTGTCCAAACTTTTGGCTTGTCTGGGCCACACTGAACAAAGTGGAATTGTTTTGGGCAACATAAAATATAGTTAATATAAAATATAGTTAATGTATGTAAATAAAAAATCCTAATTTTTTAAATATTTTTATTATATATTGTGGGGCTGCATTACTAGCTGTCCAGGGCTGCATGCAGCCTGCAGGTGATAGGTTGGACATGCCTGATTTAGTGGTTAAGGCAACAAGATAGAAACCAGGTGATTATAAGTTCTAATCCCGCCTTAGGCATGAAAACCAGCTAGGTGACTTTGGGCCAGTCACTCTCTCTCAGCCCACAACAGGCTCAGGCAACAAGCTGGTCAATCAATTTCTATCATAACCAATGGTTCAATGCTTGGTTGATCTGGGGGGGAAAAGCAGATCCTACACTTGCAGGAAAATGCTAGGAAGAAAAAAAAAACCCCTCCTTGTGATTGTAGTAATGAAACAATTTTAAAATTGGCAGAAGCCAACTCATAGTATTTTCCTGAAACATATTTACTGACTTTAATTGAAGAATTCTACTTGTCTCTAGGTCAGGAACAAGAATTTGGTACAGACTAAGGCTTCCAGTTCTGTGCACCTAGCGCAACAGCCGAGAGATCGAGACACTCCGATCCCTACGGCTGATTTCTCTCTGTTTGGGGACCCTAAATGGGCCCAAAGCCACCCCAGAGTGGTGGCAAGGAAGGAGGGAAGCCCACCGATCCTGGAGAGACAGTGATTGATCCAGACATCTGGGAAAAGCTCTCCAAAAACCGACAGAAGAAAGGCTAGCATCATTCATGAGACTAGCCCAAGCTACATGCAGCTGAAGCCAAAAAGCACTAAACTAAGTGTGATTGTAAACAGCATGACTGAACTGGATAAGAATATTGATTTTCTCTCTTCTATCTGAGTGATTTCCTGAGAAAAAAAGAGAAAAAAAACCCAGAAGTAAAAATCCTCTGAAAGCGAGGGGGGTGTCTTTGTTCCACCCTCCTCTAAACAGAAGCGGCAAATTAAGTTTACAAGGAAAAAATACAGAAAATTGAAAGATGGACTAGTACTAACATCTAGTGGTGGATGAAAATACTAAATATACAGCCCAGAAAGAAAAGCCTGTTGTGACCTTCAGGGCTTTGATTAAACAAAGAGCAGCTGTAACAAAAGAAAACATTGTGGACTATCTACAAAGTGAGAACTATAAAACTTAGAAAAAATTGACCTTCCTGGATTATAAATATTTTTCAAATTGCAACTTTAAAGTGTTTGGCAGAGAAAAGATTTTTGGTCATTATGGAGCATGCAGAAAGAACATACCCCCCCCCCAAAAAAAAATACTTACCAGGAGGAAATGTATATTCTGTTACAATGAATGCAAATAATATTAACTTCAAACCATGAGGAAATTAAAAATGAATTTGAAAATTTAAACGAATGCATTCTCAATTTAATGTCACAATCAAATGATCAGAAAACAAAACAAAAAAAAGATCATGTAAAGTAGACAACTGAATATAAGCTAGTGGAGACTCAAGTGGAGAAACTTAAAAGAAACATTGTACATGGAAAAGATAACTTGTACTCTAAGACCACAAAGTAAATTTGAGGATAAGGGAAAAGATTTGACAAAATGGATTGCTGAACTGTTAGGAGTACCACAAGAAATGGAGAGACAAGGGATGATGAGAGAAATCTTCAATGAATATGAAGGGGCAAAATCTTTTTACAAAGACATGATGTTTGATTTGCCTACTATATCTACAACATTTACAAGATTATGTAAAGATTCTTTGATACATGGAATATATTGATTGGGAAAGATTCTTGGCAAAAGAAAAGGCCTAAAGTGAGAATTGAAGAATTAGATGATGGTAGTATCAGAGGGAATATTTAAAAATTAAACATTTGTTTGAATATGGCTGAAGAAATAGAAAGATTTTAGTTTAAGAGGCATGAACCCTCCAAGTAAGACAGTATTTTTTCTTTTCTTTTTTTCTTTTGTTTTTTGATATGAAAACTATAAAAATGTGATCAACATAAAGGAAATGTTTTAGATATTTAAATGTAATTGATTTTAAGAAAATTTCAATAGATAACTAAAAATGGGAAAATGTTTTGAATAGAGTTAAAAGATTAGATGATTGGATTTAATTATAGGTAAAGAGAACAGAAAAAAAATGGAAATAAGTGTATACTAGCTCAAGAGGAATATGTATTTTAAGTAGTATATTATTTTTTTTTCTCACGTCTTTTCTTTTTCTATGTCCTTCTTTTGTGTCTTTTTCTTACTTATTTTTTAAGACATGAAAATAGATTTAAATACTTTAAGGTAATTAATTCTGGGAAATTTTAAATTAATTTTAGAAATGTTTTGAACATTGTAGGGAGAATAAATTTAAACAAGAATTGTAAACAGGATTTATCATGAGGCAACCAAGATGACCAAGAAAAGAAGCATGATATTGATGTGATTATTATTGGTAGAAATTTTAGAAAAATATTTATATTTAATTGTCACCTATCAAATTAATAAGAATTGTATTAATTTAAGGTTGCAAAGAGATTATTATTGGAAGAAGAGAAAATCAAGCAAAGCTATTATGTGGATTTTGGAATATAGAAACTAACTATTAATGATTACTTTGTAAATATAAACCCAGACAACACGCTGTTTACCCAATATTAAGGTGTTTATGTTAAAAAAATCAATAAAATATATTTTTTAAAAAAGGAATCTGGTACAGATTGTCTGGAATTAAATTTCCACAATCCCTTATACAGGGCACATGTATCAATTCTGACAGGAACTGCAATTAAAATATTGCTTGTCTCACTCTTATGTTGCATGAATAATCTCCTTCAGCTTACTGCTTACAGATATTATTATAGTGCATATCACTTTCTTTAAAGCCATATATTCCTCAACAATCCTGATTTTACCAAAATGGTAGAGAACAATAAGTGGTTGATACACAAGCTACTACTGCAATAAAAATCTCAATAATCCCAGCCAAGGTAGTCAATAGTGACTGTTTCCAGGATGGCTTCGCGGGCTGCATGAAACCACTTCGCGGGCCACATCCGGCCCCCGGGCCTTGTGTTTGATATGTCTGGTATAAAGGGAAGGCTCTGCTGATGTGTTCTATCTCTTCCGTTTCCTGCTGTTAACTGGTATTTGTTGGATCCTGCTGTATTAGCACGTGTATGTATATTGTTCCTGGTGTATGATATTGTAGATAGTGTAAGATAAACCACCATTTAATATAGACCACTGTTTACTGTGTTTACTCCTGGGTTATCTCGCGCAATAAGACTGTGCACGCTCTGACATACTTCCATAACTACTCATTCTGCTGATTCTGGACCAGCTGAAGCTTCTTAGTGGTCACCAAGAATGCACTGCATTAATCATGTTGGAAGATGATTGCAATATGAGTGATTATATGTAAGGAGTGGGATGCACAAGATAAACTGTAAAAACCAGGGGGCCCTAAGGGAAACAACAACAACAAAAAAAATAGAGGCCACGGAGTGGTGATTAAGGTCTCTGCAGCTGATCATCAGGAATTCTAACTAGTACCCTCCAAAGCCCAACACCATTCATCTGGCACTTTGCTGGACCAAATTTTTATTTATTTACTTAAGTAAATTTATATGGCCATCTATCTTGCAATCAGCAATTCTAGGCAGCTAACAGAATTAAAAACAACCAATCATAATAATATGAAAAATGACAGTTGGAAAAACAACTCCTTCATTTATAATCATCGTATAGGCCCCCCTCATGAATGGGTCCTGCCACCCTGTAGTAGAGAACGGGTAAGAGAACTGCAAAATAATCAATCTGTTCATGACAAAATTTGTTGCCAGTGCCCCAAAACAAAAAATATTCGCACAGAATATGCATATAGGTATAAATAAATTCATAAGTAGAATTTGAGGGTTTACGTTTATTGTCATATAGGTATCATATTGCCTATCTATGTTATAAAACAGTATTTCATGGTCCAATATCACAAACTTAGTTTATTTAGAAGGTTTAAACTGTGATAAAATATCAGAGCACTCTCCTTACTTAAATAAATAGGAGGTATTTGTTTGTAAAATTTATTAGCTGCCCATCTTGCCACACGGTATCCTTTTTAAACATGCATCTAAGTAAACACTATTTATACCCAAGTCTGATAGCAATGTAAACTGGATAAGTGGATCAAACGAATATTTAGTGATACAATAATGGCAAATCTATTTTCATTTTCCTACAAGTCAGTATCTTTCACAAAAGTAAAAAAAAAACATATACTTACTGTGTAATTGAATTTTGTACACTCTTTTCATTCAAGGTCATTCCTGCTGGCGGGTCATTCTGCAAAGCTAACAGCTCTTTCTGTAGCCTCTTCTAAAGAGAAAGAAAAATCTTAAAACATTTCATAAAGTATTTGACTAGTCCTTAAAGATGTTATCTATATAGTACAAGACATTGCTCAGTCTGAATGGCCAAGCCTGTTATTTATGTCTTAAACACTATAATCATCATGTATATTATTTGTTTTGCATTTTGTGTGGCAAGTCAACAGCAGCTTACATTTTATTCTTAATTATATATTGTTCTAATCTTACATACAAAGGTAGGTTAAGGATACATAAGCTGCTAAGAATTGGTAATGACTCAAATAGCATATAAGCCTAGTAAGACGAGTACGTAAATAAATGAATATCATACTGGTTATCATTCCAGAGAACTATTATTTCTGAACAAGACTGGGACAGCTAGACTGTACTTCACAAATAACAAAATATGTTATATGGAAAATCAGTACAGTACAAGAAACAGATATCCAATATAAAATGTTTATTGATGAAGTTCAACATTTCTTTAACACAATAAATATCAGAAAGTAAAGAAACTTCAATTAAACTATCTAGATATTCTTCTAAGAACTATGCAAATTGGCTTGACCACCAATTAAATTTATGATTAGTAAAAGGATATAATTCAATTTTATCTGAACAACTGTCCATATATGTAGCATGACTTCAAAACAGATCTAGACTTGATTCACATAATGTAAAACTGCAAATATGTGAAACTTACTTAACAGTGAACCTAACTGAATATACAGGGATAATTCAGAGGAAACATACATCACATCATACTATTAATATATTGAGAGGCAATTTGGTGTAGTGGTTTAAGAATTGGGAGACTGTGATTTCTAGACCTGTCTTAGGCACAAAGCCTCTCAGAAGGCAAAGGTAAACCATTTCGGAAAAATCTCATCAAAAAATTGCAGGGACTTTTCATGGCAATTCTCAGTTTTGAGAATTGAACACATTTGAATGGGAAAAAAATACGTTAATTAATTAATTAATGCATGAAGGTATAAGGAAATTGTAGAAACTGGTTTTCATTATTTACAGTATTATATCAAATAGATAATGTTTGAATAGATAAGAGTAGTACATGACTGGATAAAATTATATCCCTACACTCAGCAGCTAAAAAAAATAATAATCAGAGTATTCTCCAAGTAATCGTGAGATAACTATAGCTTTCCACTACTTGGTGCTTTCTAGATTTGTTAGATTAGCACTCTTATCACCCATAGTTAGCCTAAGAAAAAAATAAAACAAACATGAGCTGCCATAAACATGAGGATAAAAAGTGAAAGTATACTTTTACTTGAAAGACATGATGCAGATACAGGAAAAGCAATCTAGAAATCAGAGAAATATACTTTAATGAACATTCATATTCAAAACAATTACTACATAATGCATCCTCCTTAAGTTTCACAACATTCATATACTGATGAAATTATATGAGCCCAGAATTTCACTTTCCTCTGTTAATTATGGAGACTGCGGTATATGTATGTGACCAATAAGTTGCCAACAGTCAATCACTTATTTATTTAAACCTCAAAGTTTAAGGAGACCGCTTTAAAAAATATTAATGAGGATTGGAAAAATGTATACAAATTGCGGACGAACGGTACCCAGAACAAAATGTTGCAGTGTGTGCTAATAAAATACAGAATGCTTCTTTTCAGAATGTTGCCCTACTTCATTTTCTCCTGAATATTTCATTTCATTCTCACTTCCTATTTTCCATCTTTAATGGACCTTTTAAAATTTTGCATTAATGAGCATGTTTATTCACTGTCATCTCCTTTTACTCCTCCTCTATATTATTATTTTGCAAGGGATTTCCAAAAGTTGATATTAAAGTACTAATTACATAAATGTACAGAGTAATAAACAAACATATACTTAGAAATCACTACCTTTTATAAAGCTATGTTTTGGTTTATTAAAGATTGACCTATCCGTATGTTTTTGCAAAATATGCCTGTGAAACAGACTAACTAAAACATTTAATTAAATAAATATGTGAGCTCCAGTTTATTTACAGGATAACACCCCTAAATCTCTTTTAGAATTTCAGAAAATAATGATAGGATAGAATGTATTTAGTATCCTAGTAGCTCCATAGGAAAATTTGAGGTAAAACTTATGTGAGTATATGTCTGTTTGGGCAACAGGATTCCCTTCTACTTTCTTTTCTCATACAACCTGCCATGTGCCTTTGAGTCTTCTTCTCAAAATCACCCTTAGATTCTTATCCCAGGAATTTTACAAAGGATAATCAAGTTTTAAGTTATGTGTATAAGATTACAAGACGATATTTATTATCTACTAAAGTTAAAGACTCATCTTAAATTAAGGTCTGTATAATATATCTTCAAACACATGGAAAGCGTATTGTTATATTTTTCCTACTTCGGTTTGTTGCTGAGAAATACTTTTTCCAGAGAGTTTAATAAGAAATGCTCGAAAAATAGAATGATTATTTTGAAGTGAATATGACAGCTTCTTTATAATGGTCATAAGGAATTACCAGGCAGCATATGTTAATTGCCATTTTTATTTGAAAAGAGGATGACCCTGAATTTAGGACAATACTTTCCCCAAAACAGCTGGAATAAAAGTAATCCTTTGCTATGCACATTTTCCCTATCTTGTTAATCCTAGACATTTTACCCAATACATATTTGTAGGTAATTCCCTTACTATATATGTGTGTCCAGGGGTATGAATGTAGTATATATTTGTGCGTTCAAGTTGGTGTTGATTCCTGGCGACTGCCTGGACTTAGTCTCTGCAATTTTTTTAGCCAAGTTTTTTTGGAAATGATTTACTATTTGCCTTCCTAGGGCTGAGAATCAGTGACTGCCTCAAGGTCACCCACCTGGTTTTATGCCTAAGGAGAGATTAGAATTCACGATCTCCCAATTTCTAGTCTGATGGCTTAACTACTACATCAAACTGACTCTGCATGTATTTTTTAAGGCTATGCAATGTTTCAGATTCAAAGCAGAAAAAGCCAAACATTATCTTTTCCATAAATCACAGAGGATAGCTGTGTGAACCTGGAAAAAGACACAGTTGCTTTGAATTTATCACAGTTGGCTTGAAGAATGTTCACCAACATCAAGGATTTTTTTATTAACGGTGGAGAATACGGGCAACATTAAAACTCTTTGGTGCTAAAACCCTTGCCCACATCCTACGTATATGGCAGTGGTGGCAAACCTGTGGCACGGGTGCCAGAGGTGGCACTCAAAACTCTCTCTGTGGGCACGCGCACCGTCGCCCCAGTCCTAGGCCTTCAGCTGGGTTTTATAAAACCTTTTTACTTTAGGCCTCTGCTGCCGTGTGCAAAAAAACAAAAAGGTTCAAACAGTCAATTTCAACTTCTCGTGGGGAAAAAAAGATCTTGCAAAGTTGCAATTTATTTATTTATGAGACTTATATACCGCTTTAAGTGCAAGATTGAACTTTTTAGTCCCATCCAGTCTGCCGTTACCATCGCAGGCCACACCTAGCCAATGAGCCACACCCAACCAATGGGCCACACCCACCGGGCACTCAACAATGCATGTGGGTTTTGGGTTGCAGTTTGGGCACTCAGTCTCTAAAAGGTTCGCCATCACTGCTATATGGCATACACGGCTCTGCAACAAACCTGAGCCACCACACAAAGCTCTTCACAACTTGAAGCCCAGCTCCAACTCAGTCTTGGCATAGCACAACTTTGGGCCTGCTAAAAACCCCTATGTCAGTGATGGCGAACCTTTTAGAGACTGAGTGCCCAAACTGCAACCCAAAACCCACTTATGTATCTTCGGGTACCAGGTGGGGTTGGCCTACTGGATGGGTGCAGCTGTGGTGGTAACGGCAGACTGGGTGGGACTAAAAAGTTCAATCAATCAATTCCAACTTTGCAAGATCTTCTCTTTTCCTGCGAGAAGTTGAAATGGACTGATTGATTGAATCCTTTTTTTTGTATACGGCGGCAGAGGACTAAAACGAAAAGGTTTTATAAAACCCAGCTGAAGGCCTAGGACTGGGGTGATGGTGCGCGTGCCCACAGAGAGGGCTCTGAGTACCGCCTCTGGCACCCGTGCCATAGGTTCGCCATCACTTCCTTATGTCATCCTCCCAAGTAAACCAGAAAGGAACCACAACTAGATCAGTTAATTCTATCTTATTGTAATGCCACATTAACAGAATCTTGCAAATTTGAAAGTACAAACTTCCCACCGCCACTTTTAACTGCTTGATCCATTAGGGCATGTCCTTCCTAAGTTTCTTCCTCTGACTGTTAATCCATTAGGAGTTTCTCCTTTCTTGTCCGACTGCCCCCAAGATCATCCACATTCCATTACATCATGACCCTCAGCACACAGCAAAGTCCTTCACACACAAAGCTTGGCCCAGCAGTGGCACAAAGCTTATCCTCACCATCTCGCACTCTGGGGCCCCTGCTGTCCTGAGCTCTGCTACTCCAACTGATATTTGCCATCTTCTTTCTCCCACTGCTGACAAGGCATACCCACTCTGGTCTTTCACAAGGCAGCTGCTGGACACATGAGGCCATCTCCCCCAAGTCATATGAAGAAACTGCTGAGGAAAAAAGCCTTGTGTGGCTAGCAACTGCATCACAAAGAGTCATGCTTGGTTAGTAGTGGCAACAGGAAAACAGCAAAGACCGGGTACCCTGGCAGGGGCCTCAGGATGCTGGGAGCTACATAAGGGGGGAAATAAGCTGATGGGTAGAGTTGAAGCACCCTTGTGGTCATACATACCTTTGTATAAAAAGGGGAAAAGCCACTAGTTAAATGTAAGGTGTTACAAGATGCAGAGCAAAGTGTGGGAGAAGGAGAGGCAGAGCGTGGAGACAGAATGAAGAGAGGAATCAGCCTGGAGTCATTACAGCCCCAAGGAGGTTCAAGGGTAGCCAGTCTTGAATTCCATTAACTCTTATCTAGCGCCAACTTAGTGCTGACTCCTCTCTTGACTCTACCCCCAGGCTCTGCCTCTCCTTAATTTATTAATGTCAGGCATGAAGAATCAGGCCCACATATTAAGTTCTAGTTAAGATGATTTATTACTCTTGCCTATACACAAGAATCTAGTCGACTAACAGTCAGCACTAAATTGCCACTAGATAAGAGTTAATAGAATTCAAGAAGAGCTGGACTTGGACCAATTGTGGGAACATAACGACTCCAGGTTGATTCCCTTCTTGACTCTGCCTCCTCTTCTACAAAAAGAACAGAACTGCATTTTGCTGCTTGTTGTTTATTTTGGATGAAAAGTGGGCATTGCTGAGAAATAAAAGACTTTTGGAGCTGGAGCTAGAAGGATACAATCTATGATTTGGATGGCATGATTATTTATCATATGATAAAACTAAGGTTAACATAGATTTTAAAAATCATTATGTTAGTTGTACCATATTGAGAATATGGAATAGATATACACCCAGATTTTGTCCGAAAACACCTCTCTGGCTCTTCTCTAAAGTCAAGAGAAGATGTAATAGCAAAGTGATACACTTATCAATGGCTCTCCTATACATAATTATCAAAAAGCTTTAAAATAGATAAAAGAATGTATGAACATATAAGACTGAATTGGAAATAGAACTCTTTACAAATGGAAAATAAGTGGTTGACAAGATGAAATTTACATTTTGTTATAACAAAGAGAATTTCTATAAAATTATGGATAATCGTTATATGTGACCAGAAAAACTGCATAGGATGTATTTCAAATTTATGTTGGAAATGTAAACAACATAAAGGGACATTTTATTATATTTAGTGGATATAAAAAAGCCAGAAAATTATGGGTGCAAATGAATACACTGCTGCAGAAGTTTTTGATGATTAACATACAACAGAACCCAGGGGTTTTCTTTTGAGACTGACGGACAAAGAACTGGAAAAAAAGTCATGGGACTTTATTTTTATACAACTGCAGCAAGAATATATGTACAAAATATGTATCAAAGTGGAAAGACTCAAATTGCCCACAATTGAGGAATGGTTGTGAAGATGATGGAATTTGCAAAGATAGCTAAATTGACTTCTTTAATTAGAGAAAAGATGTCATTTTTTGAGTAAAAGCCCCTTATAGACTTTTTGTGTGAAACAGAAAATAATGAACTTGACTTACAGATTTGATAATTAGAAAAAATAGGTAATATAATAAAGAGAATGTTTTTGTAACCACAGAGTAAGAGATAGTTTTTTATTTGTAATTATACTTGCTGAAAAGGAAATCAGCAACTTTGATTTTTCTGTTTGCATTTTTTATTTTTTCTTTGTCATTGTTCCTGTCTTTTCTTTACTTTGTATTAGTTATTAGTTTTTATGTTGTTTATTTTTAATAAATATGTATATCTGTATATTTTAAACATTTTAGTTAAAATCAAAATATTACACACAGCTAATTAGATAATAAATTGTTCTATGCTAAGCTGAAAACTATTGAATGCGTGTATTAGCCAACATTTAATAGGCAAAAACATTTTTTAATTGGATGATGGACTTGCTGTGATAGTCTGCACAACTACTACTTCTTCATATATATTTTTAAAAAGAAAAACTGGTTTAATGTAAGTTACATATATTCCTGGTTGTTGATAGGCAGTCTCTAGTTATGGTTACTAAATCTTTCTGAAGACTTCGGTAATCTGGGCATTTATAGTTCTTTGGTTTCATCAACTGCTTAAATAATGGCTTCTTGAGATCTTTGTTGCTGACAGATTTCAGTATGAAAGTATATTATTTTAATTCTGTAAATCATTTTTAAGGAGCAGAATACTACTTCAATAATTCTTAAATATTATTTTAAAAAACAAGCATGGGAAAGTCAAATACAGAAACAGCTTAGAAGCTGGCATATTGACTTTGGACCAACTGATAGATGATAAAGATGAATTTTTAACTTATCCTATGTACAAAGATAAATAAATCATCTATCAGATATAAGTCAATGACAATATTTAGAATTATAACATTTGCTAACAACATTATTTGGAAGAGCAGCATTTTGTTTCTAAGGCACCTGAGGTACTAGAACAACTTGTTAAATCCTTTAAAACTAAAAAAAACTATTATTACTTTTTATAGATATTTGTTATTAAAAAATCAATTCAATAGCAAATGTTGAAAAATGAGTGGAAAATAGAATTAGACATTCCTATGTTATCTAAATAATGGGAGACTATCTTAACTTCTATAGCAAGAATGTCAATGGACCTCCAATTACAACTTATACAACAAAAATGTTTAGAATTTATTGGACTGTTACGTTGTATAGAATGGACTATCAAAAACAGCATTTTATTGCAGATGTAATAATGGTAGCATTTCTTTAAAATGGATGTTTTTGCAATGTCTTATAGCTACATCTTTGGGAGAAAGTAGTGGATGATATATGATTGTACAACTAAAACTAAAATTCTCAGAGGGTAATATTCTCTTGAATTACATATCTTAATTCATGGAATTTGAGAACAAGACAAGGTGAATTCATTCTCCATGCTCTTATTAAGGCCAAAGACTAATATTGCAGCATTGGAAAGATAAATGTATGCCTCTTTTCACTCAATGGATTGAAGACCTGATTGCACTTGCTATCTATGAGTAAATTTCCTATAGACCAGCGGTTCTCAACCTATGGGTCGCGACCCCATTTGGGGTCGATCGACCATTTCACGAGGATCGCCAAGCAAGGCTGTCCGCCATTTTTTTCCCCTTTTCCAGCGGGTGCCTTACCTCCCTTGGGCTGGGCCAGCTGGTGGCCCAGCCAGTGGTCGGCCTGCTCCGTCTCTGCTGCTTGCCAGCTACGCCTTGGCCGGCGCAGGGGGCGGCACCACGCATGCGCGGCGCTCCCGGGCAGGGAAAGTCCTCAACTTATGACCAGTTGGGTAGTCCTCGACTTACGACCGGTTTAGTCCTCAACTTACGACTGGTTTAGTCTTCGACTTACGACCGGTTGGAGGTCGTGGCATTAAAAAGGTTGAGAACCACTGCTACAGACCTAGGCTTTGTATGGACAAGTATAATGAAATATGGGACTCATTTATACAATAGGTTAAAATAATCATATAAATGTATCAAAATGATATACATCTTCACTATTTACATTAGACATATATAGAATTATAACTGTTTATTGTTATAAAAGACATTACATTTTTGTTTTTTCACTTTTTGTTAGAATAATTTTTATGTGTTTTTTTGTCTTTGACAATATATGTATCACTATATTTTTGTGTACTGTATTGTCCTTTTTATTAATTTAAAAAGCAATAGAAATAAATACAAAACTGTAGAAATGGTTGTGGGGAGATTTTTCAATGGATAAGGGGGAGAAAGCAAATGAGATATTACAAAAAGATTTGCAGTGGCCAATTAGTTGATCAGAAGGAGGTTGACTTCCTGATTCCAACGCAAAGGCAAAACAGAAATGTCAGTTAGAATTTCACAACTCATACATACTTGTTTTTGAATATGCCTGCCATCAAAATGTGTCGAAGATAACAGTAATAAACCACTTAGTGGGAAGAACAGATTATTCTGTACCTATTTCACCTCTCTCCATCACTCTTTTTAATTTGGCTCCCTTGGAGACCCTGAAATCCTGGTACCACAGAGACATCCCTGAAGTCAGGGTAATTGGTCTATGGCAGGGGCCCCTAACATTTTGGGCACCAGGGACTGGTTCCGTGGAAAAAGATTTTCCCATGGACGGAGGGGGCATGGTTTCATGTGCTATCTGCATCCCATGGATGGGGCTTTGCTTGTTTGTGTAGCCTGGTTTCTGGCATGCCGTGGCCTGGTACTGGTCCACAGACCAGGGGTTGGGGACCCCTGGTCTATGGGACCAGACAAATAATCCAAACTCTATCCAATGGAGACTGCAGTGCCAGTGTAACTCCTACAAAAACAAAATATGCCATGACTAAGGTACAAAAGAAAGCACACCGAAATGACTTTCCATAAGGACTTCCTGACCTCTCCCTCTTTCTCAAATCCTCACAAGCAGGCGCTCCATCAAAACTCCTTCTCCATACTTCCAGAGCAATACGATCCTTCAAAGGATTCCGAAGAAAAGGGATACTTAAGGTATTTCATTTCCTGAAGCAGCAACAGACCTGCCTCAGCCAGTAGGCGCGTTTTACTGCCCCTTCCCACATTCACCACCAACCAAGCCAGGCCGAGCATAGCCCAAGTCTTTGAAAGCCACACCTAGGAAACAGCCACCTGCTCTTCCCGTTGAAGCCCAAACTGGCTTGCCGCCTCCACCCCCGCCTTTTTTCAGCTTTCCTTCCCCTCACCAGCCCCTTCCTCAGCCGGGAAGGGAGACGAAGGTGGGGAGAGCCCTCCTTGGCCTTCTCTGCCCCTCGCCCGGCTTCTCGCCGTTCCTTCAGGACGAAGTTCCTCTCTCGGCGCTTTTCCCAATCGCTCGGGCAGGAAACACGAGAGCAGCTCCAACCGCTGCCGCTCCACGGAAGTCAGCGCAGGCGAAGAACGAGAGGGTGAGAGCCTCGGGTCCAACCTTCACCAACTCCTCCTCTGGCACCCCTGACGGCAGCGCGGCTCTCCGCCCCACTCTTCTCCGTAGTCCCGGGAGAGTCACCTGGGGACGAACCGACAGCCATCCCAGCCTGCCGCAGGCTGCTCACCTGCATAGACGCCATGATGGATCCGCCTCCCCACACTATCCGCTCGCGGCGCCGCCGGCCGGGACCGGGAGAGACGCAGGACGGCGGCGGCGGCGGCAGCAACGCCGGCACTCTTCCCCGGTCGCTTCCTTCTCCTCCTCGCCTCTCCCCCCACCCCTCCGGGTCACGTGGGAACTCCGGCCATCCCGTGAAAAATGCGCATGCGCCCCGAAGCTCTGCCGTAGTTGGTGCCAGCTGGGCACGGGACGTCTTCGAGTGGGTTGCTGAAATTCTGGCCTTCCTTTAAAAAAAAAAAAAACAAAACACCCAAAAGGTTCAAAACAAACCGTAGCAGCGTAGCTCCTCTTGTTACGGCGTCAGAACTAGGTAAGATCGCAGGCCACGTGCGTGCTGTGCTGGTTTCCCGAGTATAGGGTACCAGGCGGTTTATAAAAAAATATGTATATGTCTTCGTGGACGCACCAGACATCTCATGCCCCTTAAGTATTTTCTCCGACTACGGCCTTGCATCTGGAAGGGGGCCAAAGAAACCTCACGGACGATGTGAGGTCACTCAGAGTAGGGCTCGACTTAATGAGCTTTGAGGAAAAGCAAGCGCATTTTGATTGTCACCTGGACTCTCGTCCATATCGACAGCAATGACATCACAAGTGACCTGTTTCAAATACAGCATATAGATAACCTACCTTCAAAATGTATGCTTACATTTAACATGCTATAAAAAGAATAGTTTCTCTTTATTCTAGACATAATATATTATCACAGAAATAATTAGCTATGTATAGGAAATGACACCATGCCATAATAAATGCTTATTTTCTGGTAGTGCCTGTTTTTTTCGTTACTGGGCCAGTTGTTATAATCCAGTAAAATCTTGCAAATATACCTGGGCAGATTCATCCTGTCCTTCTGAGCAGGGAATTTGAAATCCTAAATGTTTTTGTCAGAAATACATGATTTTACCAATTCATGAAGGGTTTGCATGTACTGATCTATTTATAATGAAAATATTTACACAAGCAATTGGAAGATGATTATTCACTCCAACTTTAGATTTTCCCATTGAAGGGATTTTATTATGCTTAAGGTTGACATTAGTAATATTGATATTAGTAGTGATACTTTGTAATCATTATATATATTGCTTATATGAAAAGAGCCTGGTAAGGGAGGGGAGAAAGGAGTTACAGATGGAGCCTGGGTTGCTGTATATGAGTTATCATCTTGGAATTATTTTTCTGTACCTTTTCGTTCCTGATACAAAGATCTGATCTCTTTATTCTGGAAAGGTGGAAGATATCTTTCCTGGTTGTTGCCTTCATCTTTCTACCAGCCAGGAAGAGAGATGGGGTCACCCAACTCTATTTTGATCAAAATAAAAGTTGTTTGCTTGCTGAAACCTCGGCTCAGGAGTTTCTTTGGCTCTTTTAAATTCCTGAGTAATGCTGGGATAATTGTGAGGCTAAGTGGAAAACCTTACACCATCATCCAGCCAAATGATACCCACAACCATATAATTCCCATTAGGACCACAAATGGTTTTTTTTGTCATACAGAACATTTGCTAATGTGGCTAATATACAAAAACATAGATTAATATGTTGAACTTGACTTTTTTTTAAAGCATTTGCCATAATCTTTATTAAAATTCTACTGGTTAATAAGAGTAATTTTGTGTAGTGATTAAGGCAGGGGTGTCAAACTGCCGGCCCGCGGGGCGGAGGCGTCACGTGGAAGCCACACCCACCCCATTGCAGGCAATGGTAAAACCAGCCCGATATGTTGCGCAATGTCACATGACGTCGTGAGTTTGACATGTCTGGATTAAGGCATTGAGGAGACTAAATTCTAGTTCCATCTTAGGTATGAAACTACCTGGGTGATCTTGGGTCAGTCACTCACTCTCAGCCCTAGAAAGTAGACAATTGCAAATCATTTCTGGAAAAAAAATTGCTATAGAAAACTGCAAGGCCTAGTCCAGGAAGTTGCTAGGAGTCAACTCTATCTCAAAGGTACAAATTACACAAATACACACACAAGATTACATCCTTTGGACTTGGTATGGGAACCAGTATGAGTTTTCTTCAGTCCTCATGTGTAAACTGTTATTGTGTTTGCATTTTACACCAGGACTTTGGCTAGGCCAGGATTCTAGTGAAACCGATTCCGCAGATAATCTTCCATGGGTCTAATATGACAAGAAACCAAATGAATCTAGATCAGATTATTCTTTTCAGTTTGTCTTGCTTGTTAAAACTATTATTATATCAGTTATCTCATTATTTTCATTAGTTCAGTGGGAATTGTTTTTGAACCTACTAATATTTCAGCAGTTCAGTCTGATACTTTGTTTATGGAACAAGTTAACTAGGCTGCTTGAGGAGCATACTTGTTTTACTTAGGAAGAAGGCATGTGTATTTCATTGGGCTACTATCCTGTGTAAACAAGAACAATGCTGTACGAATATAATCCAAAACATACATAAAGGTTTGCCCTGTCCAGTCGTTTCTGACTCTAGGAGCCAGCACTCATTTTCAATTCCTAGCTGAGGGAGCCAGTGTTGTCCAAAGAGACTTCTGTGGTCATGTTATCTAGAGGATAACTGATTGAGGAAAACTGCATTAGCAAGTGACTTGATTACATGTTTGATTGAATGAACCATAATTTGGTTCACACTATGTATAAACCGTAAATCATGATTTATAAACCAGAATGCCTGGTTTCAAACTGTTCTTTAATCAAAATAAGTAAACCATATTTATAATTAGGCATATGAATCCAATCAATGTAAGTTTAGGACTCCTTGAATAATTTGAAATATCTGGAGCATTTGTAATATTAGCTTCAGTACTTTTTTTCTAAAAAAAAAAAAAAAAAAGGTGCCGGAACTCACACACATCATATAACCCGCCTTGCCTATCCTACAAGGTTCCATCCAAAAAAGGTGCCGGAACTCCGTTCTGGGCGTTCTATGAGAAAAAAAGCCCTGATTAGCTTTATCAAAATCAGATTCACTGTAAGTATTCCACTGCTTCCATAGACAAGATTAAGAAGTCTTATTCTACTCTCAAATCTCATG